GATATTGATGTCCTGTAATTTAGTTTCGACCCGAAACTACCGATGTGCGTTACGCACCTCGGTAACTAAATTACTTTTTCCGATCCTTGTTTGTTAGAATAGTACAACGAGACACATGTTTCATTCGTGGAGAAAAATAGGAGGCGGCAGGCAATACACTTAACGGCGTGCGTGAGGATTGGTAACGATTATCAAATGTGCGTGGCATACGATTTCGTGCGTGCCCTCTCGATGTATATCCAGATCGCATTATCTTAATGCGGGAGCGCGCGAGGTATTCCGCGGGGGACTAAAAGGTTGCACAATCCATAATGATAAGGTAATGACAAAATGAAATCGTCAAGTTGTAGCCGGTTGTCGTGGGGTGTCAGGTAGGATTATCAAAAGGCGCCGCTTTCGGACGGACAGAGCGGCCCGATTTAAAAAAAAATAAATAGGTGTTTGGTGTTTGGTGTGAGTGTGGATGGGCTGGGCGGGTAGAGGAGCTAATGAGTGGCGGTGTTCTTCTTGGCCTCTAATGACAGGGTAGTCGAACCTGGGCGGTAGCAGCCACCTGCTCTTTATACCCCGGCTTTCAACCTCTCTCTTTCTTTTTCTTTTCTCCACACACGCGAGGATTACCGATTAGGGTGCGCTCTTACACGGGGCAAAGAATAAAAACATGGTACATTCGACTCATATCCGACACATATTTGAATAAACCTTAAGAAAACTGTGCACAAAATACTGATGACCGGAAATCATTAAAAGTGAATAACTAAATTTCTCACTCAGCCGCATTCGTTTGTGTGGGAGTAAGAGAAAGCCTAGAGGTTTTTTAAATTCCTTATTCATTTATAATTGGTCAATTGAATCGCCAAACTGGTTAGAAAATATTTTTGTTGTTATAGTTGCCGGTAAGCAGTATGTAAAATCTATTTTAACTGAACTGACGGATCACGTGTTCTGAGCGAAAACTAGTCTATCCTCAGGAATGTGACGATGCTCCCTCCTCGACGACCGGTTTATTACCCCACATTCACACCTAGGTGTAGTTTTACGTTTTTTTACCCTCTCCCACCCCCGACCGACAGGGATCGGAGGGATTTCAAATTATAGGGAAGTGGGCGAACACAGCTCTAATACCACTCATTAGGAGTCCTGAGGGAGTCTCACCTCTGGGATTAAAAATAAATTGGCGACTCTTTGCCTTTCGACACACGCATCGTCGAATTTTCGAACCTGACGTCGAATCTACTACTTCTACATTTTCTAATCCTATCTATTGGCGGAACCAAGACATCCCGGTCTGGTTTAAACACCGATTCTGTCCGATACAACCATCAATTCGAGTTGTTCTGTCTGAAATGAAATTTAAAAATCATCAACCACTCTTCTCTCACTTTACCTTAATACTAAATACGCGCAATATGTTCTTTAATGAGTTTGAGCAATTAGCCGTCAACGGTGTACGATTATCGTGAAATCGACGGGACCCCCAGTGTGTTCGATTCAAAAGCGCAGCGAGATATACAGTCTCTGAGTTAGTGAACGATCTCTAAATGTTTATGTGCCGGGCTCGCGGTTAATAGCCGCCAACAAATAACGTCTATTCTCAGTGACCTTTACTAAACGGGACCTGGTCCCTTTATGATTGCCGTCGTTTCTGTCGCTACTGAGAGTTCCCCGAACTTAGCTCCAACTGAGTTTCAAATGACTTTACCCTCACAGCAAGATTGGGCGTATTTTAACTCTATGAAAATTAATAGTGTTGAAGGGTTTAGCAATCGATAAAAAAATCATAAATAAAAACCCAACTAGTTCTGACCATCTCTCAGAATGGATGTTTGCTCGATGGAAAAAAATACATTTAGAGATTTATTAAGTTCTTACAAACTAAAAAAACACAAACGTGCATTTTTGTTGCAGACCAGAACGAAAGCGATCTGCAGTAAGATCGGGCATCGCTCGTCGCATTGCAACTGCAAGTTGTAGCCACAACGTTCAAGAAAATATTCTCATATTGGGCTCATTTGTTAGTCTACTAATCTTAAATTTGTAGCTTGATCCTTTAAGATTATTTAATTTTCCTCCTATCCATGCTTCTTTTGTGTGTCTGACAGTTGCGTTTAGGCTTTTTGTCATCATCAGTGAGTTTGCTGGATGAAACAAAGAAGCAAACCTACAGCTGACGGAATCATCACGCATCTCTCAAAAGGAAATCCCACAAGTCTACGTATGATAAGATGTAATGAAAAGCACCAAAATAAAATAATTGTACAAACTACGTATTACTTTAAACCATTTTATTACTATTTTCTTTTAGGAGGTCCGAAGTCGTCGAATGTAATGTACAATATGCTGCAAGTGTCTTTAATCAGTTCTCTAGGAATATAAATGACGATAGTTTGTAGAAATCATGTTTTCTTTCATTGTTACTATTCTCTTTTAAAGATAATAACATGAATAAAAGGTTTTTTTTTTTTTTTTTTTTTTTTTTTTTTTTTTTTTTTTTTTTTTTTTTTTTTTTTTTTTTTTTTTTTTTTTNGTGGGAATCGAACCCACGACCGCGGCGTGAGAGTCTCTCATGCTAACCACTCGGCTACCGCGGTCCCCAAATAAAAGTTTTAAGAAATTTAGTAACCGAAATGTTTTCTTTTTGTATGCTATATAATAGGATGACCCCAAATGGGCATCGGTGGCCGCAAGCGTAGGAACGGCGCTCATCACTGCAAGGTAAAGGACTCGGGTTCGAATCCAACGGTCCTACATTCTAACCCGACATACTTACAAATTGACTTTAATTTTTTTAAAATGTTATTGTTGTTAGACGGCGCGCAGAAAAGTGATGGAGAGAAAAAGTCATTTTACCTGGTAAATATATATCAACCAATAGCATTAAACTGGGTATAATCACTTATTCTTTGCCACAATAATAACTCTTCTTTGGGTCTTTTAAAAATTGATTTAATTGTTTAGGTATGTGTTGCGTTTGTGATGCCTTTTGATTTTCGATATTAAAAAGGCGTTGCAGTAACAAAACTTCACTCTGTCGCAAAACAGAGCGTTTAATGAATAAACCAATGTTAACACATGTTGAGAGGGTTCGGGCGGTAAATAGCCTACGGCGTATCTGTAGGGAATGGTTAGCAGCTTGTGATAATCCGTGTAAAGACACCTGATACAAATTCGACGTGTTAACATAATGCTAATGCTTCGGGCAGGTGGGCCCACAGCCTCAGGCTTCTGCCCGAGTCAATATAACCTTCGAGTTTGTTAAAATATGCATAAACGGCATTAAAAACCTGCTCGAGTTACCGGAAAGTACAGCCTTATTCTTTCTACGTGATAGTCGAGGTCGCACAACACTACTAAATTATTATTATCTGGACACAAACATTTATTCTCGGGTTTACAATATCGAGTGAGGGAATCGTGTATAGTATGTACAAGATTCTGACACATATTTCAACGTCTACCCAATAAAGAGTATTTTATACGGTATATGGAACGTAGACATGTATATTTATGTGAAGAAGAGTCAGCTTGTGTGGCCTGCGAAACGCTGACAGGCGGGGTATCAAAATTGAAAAATTAAAATCACGGTCCATCAAGGAACGAGCAATCAAAATTTCATTAGCCGGATGGGTACTCGGTGAAGGATGGAAGGAGAGGTAATTCCTTCGGGAGGTATTAGCCACTCTTCTCCTCTGAGTGTGTGATTCAATTATTGTCGGTTCCGAACAAAGCCGCAAGGGAAGACAATTACACGCCGTTTACCGGACTCTAATCTTCGGCCCACCTCCCTTCACGGCATTGTTCCCAAACACCTCCACCATTATGACTCTTGAACTTAATTTACGAAATCGGTTTTATTAGCCTGTCGGATCGGTGCTTTTCGGAGGCGTGAATAGCTTAGGTCGTCGGACAGCTCGGGTTGACACGATTTTATCTCGATAAGGGTCCATTGGATCTAAAGGTTCGTCCGAAGGGTTTGCAGAGGGCATCCCGAAGCGTTAAATAGTTGGGCTAAGCGTTTTTCAAGAAATCAACCCAAGGCTAAGTATTCACTTCCTTCCAGCCGACAATATTTTCAACACTTGTGAGTATAAATGTAATGTCTAACATTAAAAAAAAAATCAGAAACGATTTCACGAGATTTCAATCACAGAATTTGATTTTTATGTGGCAATTGGGGTTCCTTGTTTCTTCGATGAAATAAACACGAGGATCATGTCCCGCTTCTTCGCACTTATCGCATTTCCAACATTTCTGCGCACCTAATAATTAAATATTAAAATTATGAATAAGGATATCATTATTGTCCCAAAAACTAATATATCTTCCCAGTACGTGAGTTGTGTCCAATAAAGTTTCGATCAATCGAATGGCGAACAAAATGCGATTGGGAGTCAACTGAGTGGGAGATGGTGGGCAAATTTTATGATGCATTTAAATGACTCAATATCTTTAAAGTCGTCCGATTTAGGTCCTGAAACTAGCAAATGCCTTTTTTAATTTATATAGATATATGTATATTTAAAAAAAAAAGGATTGAGATTTTTCAAACTGGACCCGACCGATGGAGTAGATACGTGTATTTGCCGCAATAAATAAAATTCCTCTAAGGTCATTATCAATGATCGGAACGAATACGCACAACAGTGAATAATGCGAAAAGTTGTACCTGTCAGATTTTTACACGAGTATTATATCCGTTGAAGGGAGAAACGACTGAGTTATAGTTATAAAGGTTTCTCACTTACAATTAATTAAATTTTTTATTGCTTTCACGAGTAATATTCGTAGGACATAATGTGTAACATTATGTGTGCGGAGAAATGCACTTATGGCAAGCATCTGAGGGACGAATGGATTTAAACGGTTCCCGGGTCGTAACGAGATGTGACGGGAAGGATTCCCTAGGTTGACAGTCGGTCGGCCGGGTGGTTCGATACCATCTGAGACTGCCTGAGGCCGTAAACACCTGAAACGAGTGTGGTAGATTCGTGAATGCCTACCTGTCAAAGTCCGTGAGCCGGGAAGAATCGCGGAAACCTTTGGCGAAGGGGTTGCTGTCGATCTTCAACTTGGTTATCTGAAATCAGGCAAACAACAATAATTATCAATACGTATTAAGCTTTAGATTGGCGGCAACTTTAAGAATGTTTGGTTTTGTATATATATATATATATATATATATATATACGTATATATTCTTCCGTGTTACGTCAAACACTTGCTGGAGCAAGATTGCATATCTTAGAAATCAATACATTCCACTGTGCTTTAAAAGCTATGAAAATTTTTAATTAAATTTACTTGCAATTAATTTTTTAACTAATTTTCAATAATGAAGAATAGTAAGTTCGAGATCAGGGATGTGGTCATCAAAAATAAGTAAGTTTTGTAACTTATGCCAAGCTTTCAACCTTTATTGAGGTCTTCATCAAGGCTCAAGTAATAATTTTACTTTTGATATTGTGACGAGTAAGTTATCCAGTTATCTGAGAATTATCGTGGTACTTATTATTTATTGCTTATTAACGTTGTTATTACTTGTAGAGCCCTGATGAAGACCTCAATAAAGGTTGAAAGCTTGGCATAAGTTACAAAACTTACTTGTTTTTTTCCCTGAAGATGATCTCAATAAAGATCGAAACGTTGGCACGATAAAGAAAATGTTATTCTGAAACCTACATCACCATTTATATTTGAAAAATAATTAGAAAAAATTAAGAGCAGAATTTTTGATGGCCGAGAAATAAATCAATTTGGTCAATTTTTTTATTTCATTTTATTAAAAAACTTACAACATCATCTCTCTTATTCTTATATGTGAAAGCCATTGCATTCTGTTTTGAAGGTTGTTATAAAGGTCGCCCTTCCACAAAATGTCACAATAAAAACCTCTCTTCTTTTCTTGTACTAGTTGTTCATAGAAACGTTGAAATCATACACCCTTAAATTATGTTGCAAATGTAAAGGTGTAAAGGAAAAGTTCAAAACAAAGACAGTTTCGTTATGCTTGTAGGTTAGTGTTTCGTGAGAGGCTTTGTTACCTCACGATTCAAATCGGACAGAATGACCCACACGCAAAGTTAACCGGAGCGGAAAATGGCGTTTGATTTCGAACGACAAATGATCGCTTCTCGGACAGTTTATCGGAAATGTTGTGATTCATTGACTCACCAGTTGGTTTTGGTATGCGGTCACCGCCGTGAACACCGTCTCGGGGAAAATGTGAGTCCGAAACTGTTCTTGGTCCAAATCCGTGATCGGCCCACCGTGGTCTCTCCATTTTACGAGGTGGATCCTTGGCTGGTACCTGTGCATCGAGTTCAGCACAATCTGAAATTCAAAACAGTCAATGTTTAACAACGTATGAACGATGAAAGGCTAGAGCATAAATGTTATCGAGTTTCGTGTGTAGATAAATAACACTTCAATTTCCGCTCTCGTAACATGAAAATTCACGCCCACCGGAAGCCTATCCTCCTGCCCCCTAAATCGACAAAGGAGCTGAAACATTAATGGAAATTATGGGAAGTGTTAATTAAAATATAAATGTTCGTTCTAACGGTCCTACGTTGAAAATTTATATAATAATGTGATTTTTATTATTATAATTATTATTATCGTTTATACAAGAAATTACTTTTTCAAACACATTTTATGAAACACTTCCCCGCCTACATGTTTCACCAAATACGGCGTGAGCAAATGATAAATAAATATTAGAGGTACCATTTAAATCACATTAACCTCTAAACCCGTAAATCTCCATAGTCCGGGGAATTTCAATGATATTAATCTTCATTTACAAAAGAATTTCGAAACTCTTCAACCCTTCTCTTCGAAGGTACTCTTCTTGTTAGCCAGTGATAAATATTAAAAGGCGTGGTGTAAAAGGAAGTTTCTTTCAATGGGTTGTGTGGGGCCCAGACCGTATAAATTGGAGGATAAATAACTACTTGATAATGGACCCACGGACACCGGACCTCCCGTAAAGCCTATACGGAGGCTTTATTTTATTCTTAATTTCTCCTTGTTTATTCAATTGTGATGTGGAAGATGGAAAATGGAAAGCTATAAATTATTCTAGAACTATAATAGCTACCGGCTGTGAGGACAGCCTCTTGTAACATCTACAAAAGAAGGTAGCAGTCGGGGATAGACGTAAAAAAAAGTACCCTCCTCCCACAACGAATAAAATTCTCTTTTAAAAAATTCTCATTTCTGAGAACAGATATATTTTTCGTAGTAGCTAGTTAAAATCGAGTCTAGTATTAAGTAATTATAAGTAGCAGAAACTCAACAAACATGACTAAGGCAAATAAAAATATTAAATAATTTTTATGTAAGGTATTGATTGAAATGAAAAAGTCAGTGTCACAAGCGGGATTCGAACCCACGACCTTCGGGTAAATCCGCCGTTTCTCTTCCACTTGAGCTATCGTGACTTCGATCCACTGGGACACCAACTTCCATCTCAACCTACCTTTCGAATTTTCCCTCCTTTTTGCCATTTTTTAAACGTCGTGTAATCAGGATTCGATTCTCGGCGACAATGAAATGACCACGGAGAACTCTAGTGAAGATATACTTCGTTTTAATTATTAAACCCATTAGATTTCATGGTCCGATTGACCAAATAACTTCTTTAATTAGTTGACCTTTTCGTTACAACCAATACCTTATATAAAAATTAATTAATCGAAAGAAGTTATTTGGTCAATCGGACTACGAAATATGATGGATTTAAAAATATTAAAGTTTAATTCGATTCGCTAAATAATTGCTAGTGTAAATTTTAGAGTTGTAATAAAGCCAATAATACAGTAATTAGTCTTGTCACTGTCCGTCACAAAATCGACATCTATCGAAAATTTTCGCGGATTGGGGAGATGTTAAAATGTTCAAAAGCACAAGAGCCGCTCATCGGTTGATTAATTTTCCACTAATCCATCGAATAATCCCCGTCTGGTCGAATGGTCCCCGTCCACTTGCATATGCGTTGGCAAATAATCCAACCGATTTACGGGATTGACCGGAGGAACGGTTCCGCCTCGCTTTCGAAATTATTTATTGCACCACGATAAATATTCCAACGCCGATAATAGAGGAATTCCTGGTAGAATTCCTGTCGCCATTATAAGCCGATCGATCTAATACTGTTAATACGGCCGATTTTTAGTCAATACGCATAGCATATGAAATTGAAATATTTTAACATCGTTATCAATTCGAAAAATAGTTCACACATTTCGAATTGGTTTAAGCACGATGACGAATAATCAAACAGTATTGTTTTAACGAGCAAAGCAGAGGTCAAATCAACCTCGGGGTGCCGATGTTTTTGAAAAAAAGCACATTTGTATGTCGGGTTCGCAGGGCCGCTAGATTCGAACCCGGTAACTTTACCTTTCAGTGATGAGCGCCGTGTCAACGCCGAAATCGTTGCGGCCACCGACAATCAAATTGTATTCAAACCCTATTTATGCACAGGTCTACTTGAACGAATCTTAAATTTAAAAATTTCTATTATTTACTACTCTTAGTATTTATTTAATACTATTTAAGACGTAAAGATTAATATAATATTTACTAAAGGACGTACTTAAATACCATCGCCACTTCATGTTCGCCGAAAATCGGAGAATCGATTCCGGTTAAGCGAAATTTAAATATTTGTCAAAAAGATGGAAATTTCAAAAAGTTTTAGGTTGAGATGGGAGACCGAAGTCACGATACCTCAAATCATTTACTACTTTCAGTTATTTTAATTATAGCTGAAGCTTGAAATCCTCAATTTACTATTTCTCTCCAACACAAGATAAATTTAATTTTTCACAGTTTTTTACTCGAATGTTACACCCGCGTTTTTCTCCGTCATTCCAAAGATAGACAGTTTAATACAAATTGTATTTGTTCAGTGGTAATTATATTTCTATATACTTCATTTACAAAAAACTTAATTAATTTACAGCTACCGGACTGGGGATCGAAGTCACGACAGGCTCAAAATATTTACTATTTTCATTTATTTTAATTTTCCCTCAAGTTTACAAGGGTCTTCAACACAAGATAAATTTAATTTTCACGGTGTTTTACTCGAATTAAAATTTGTCTCCTTCTTTCGAAAATATATAATTTAATGATTATTCAGAAATCGTGAGATGTGGTCTGGTGAGAAGTAGGTTTCAGAAAAACATTTTCTTTATCGTGCCAAAGTTTCGATCTTTATTGAGATCATCTTTAGGGCCTGGGATTTACAAACATTGTTTAAATTTAACACATGTAGGATGTGGAAAAAAGTGAACTTATATAATGCAAAAAATATATTTTTTATATTCAGTCAAAGTATTTCTAAGTATTTCTACTCACTCAAAGTGTTTGTTTTCTGCGTAAGTGTGCTATTCTTGCGTGTCGTGTTGAAAGTGCCAGTGAGATATTGCTGTTTTATGTTCAAACATAAATTCACTTTTTTCCACATCCTATATGTATTTGTTAAATTTAAACAATATTTGTAAATCACAGGCCCTGATGATGATCTCAATAAAGATCGAAACGTCGGCACGATAAAGAAAATGTTTCTCTGAAACCTACATCACACCTCATCTCACGATTTCTGAATAATCATCTACTAACGGTCACTAATCACCACATATAATTTAATGTACAAATTGTATTTGATCAGTGGTAATTACATTTTAAAATACTTTATTTACAACAAAATAGTGTATTAATTAACAGCAATTAATGGCGACTAGTAGAACCAAAAACTGTTGCCAAATTATAACCGTTTTTGAAGATTTATTATTGTTAGTAAAGCTTTTATTTGTGAAGGAAGAGTATTTTTTCACAATGCCAAAAGCCAGTCGAGTTATGTCTTGAATTAAAACATTAATGTTGTTGATCATACTAAGAAGATACATATAAGTAAGAAGAGCTAAATTTGAATGATGATACAAATAATAGCATTTAACTGAATATAGCCGACGCTAAACTTTCCTTAGCCAGTTAGCAGAATAGAAATAAATCAGATGGCAATTTTTATTTTCATTTTGAAAAATTATCCTCACTAATTGATACTGGTTTTACCAAGAATCGCGGTTTTGAACAAGGAAAGGATTTTTTTCTTTTTTTTTTTTTTTGCGTTATGAACTATGCATATTAGCCATGTGACAAATTCGTATATGTGTGTTCAAATTTGGGGGGTTATTGGGAAAAAAGGGCCAGGGGCAACGGTGGGAATCGAACCCACGACCGCGGCGTGAGAGTCTCTCATGCTAACCACTCGGCTACCGCGGTCCCCAAGGAAAGGATTTACAATTTTTATTTATCATTCTTGGCATGTTTTCCTAAAACAAGAATTTTTTATATTTTTCAGATTTTTATTTTTAAATAAATAAATATTTAATACTAACAACAAGTGTAATTCAGTGTACGTAGTGACTTATAAATTTCTTAACCTTTGCCCTCATGGTGCAGTGCGCAATGACCGTGGGAAAACAAAACAATGCACACATTTGTTAATTATATTTTTATTAAATTCACTATTTTTCGTGGTCCGCTTGACCAATTGATAACATTCAATTAATTAAGGTTTTTAGTTGACATTTGAAAAATGGCAAAAAGGAGGGAAAATTCAAAAAGGTGGGCTTGAGATGGGAAGTTAGTGCTCGAGTGGATCGAAGTGACGATAGCTTAAGTGGTAGAGTATCGGCGTATCAAGCCGAAGGTCGTGGGTTCGAATCCCGCTCGTGACACTGACTTTTTTATCTCAACTAAAAACCTTAATTAATTAAATATATATGTTTATATTAGATAGATAGAAATACTTTATTTTACAATTCTATACACATCATGAAACATATTTATAAAATGTGGAATTAAATCCGTCTGTCTCGTCGGAGATCGTTGTAAATTGCCACACATAATTGGAAATTATGTATGAAACTTAAATTTCTTCATTCAAGCTGAAGAATTAGCTCTTATGATGTTATATGGTAATTTAATTAACCGACAAAGAAAACAAGAAAAGGCATTTGTATTGTACTTCCAACAAAACGAGAAAACCTGGTGGGACACTTAGATGCAGAAGAACTCTAATGAATTGGGCATTCAGCCACAGGTATTTACAAATCGAAAGACCCCTTAATCTTGAGTTTCATAAAGAGCACAACGAACCATTCATTTGCTTTAGATTTCCAGAGTACAAAGTTTACAAAAATTACCTCGCGACGTATTTTGAGGACCTTCGCAGCTCAAAGAGGCGGAAAACATTTGTCTGCTGACCTAATGATTAATCAATGGTCCAAATAATAATAATTAAGGAAACTTGTAGGCCAAACGCCCTTTTATAAGACTTATGTTGAACTGCCATAATTCGGCTTAGGGGGAATACAGATAGGCCTTGCCGATATATATATTTCCACATATAAACGTGAAAACGCAGTTATATTGTGTTCCATTTTGAAACCAAATAGTAATTCGTGCTTATCACTTCTGTAGCTGGATTTTGGATCGAGGAGAAAAATTTAAGTTCATTCATGTAAAAAGAAATGAAAGGTGAAGCTTTCGACTAAAAACAAATAAGTCTAGTCAACAACTAAAACAAATAGTCTTCTAGTCTCTAATAACAGCTTAGTCGTCGACGTAGTTATTTAAAAAAGATATCAGAGCCTTTTCTACTACCTCATTGTTCGCAACCATAGCACGGGATGGTCTTCGCCATTAACACTCTCAGTGCAAAAACTGAAAGAAACACTTTTTCAAAACAATCTTTTTCTTTAGAAACAACACAAATGTGTTATTTTATAATCCTCTTTAAGGGTATAGCACAATAACACATTTAACGACCAGTAACGTGAATAGCCTTCTTATGTGTTTATATGATCTGTGTTTTATTTAATTCGAAGGAAAAACTTATATTCTTAAATAAACTCCAGTTGATATCAATCACTAATGTACATTTCCTTTCAAAATTCTTTAATGTTGGAGACTTAGTGTTTATATTATTCATACAGATTTCCTTGCAAAGTTTATATTTACTCTTCCAAAATGAACCTCTTAAACACCCTCATCACTGTTGTACCGATGGTATGTGTATAAAGCAATTCTAAACCAAGGTGAACTGAACGTGAGAGAATAATAGACCGGAAGTCCGAATAATTGTGTGTATAAGACAAATTTCAGCAACCGCACTTTAGGTCACATTACACATCTGATAATTAAAATCATCAAATTATATTAAATTAATTTTTTACTGTAAAGGTACTTTCCATTAGAAGATACCACGTCGTTGACGGTAAGCTGCAGAACAGAACGAAGGCCCATGCCGAAAAAACTCACTTGCGTTTTCTGCGGATAGGCAGAGATGTGCGAAAGGATTGTCCATACGGGCAATGGGCTCCGGTGTAAAAGAAGAGAAGGAGAGAAAGAGAGAGAGTGAGAGAGAGAGAAAGAGAGAGCCGCTTAGTATTCAGCCGTGGAGCGAACCCGGCTCGTAACTAAAGGGCAACTTGTCTCTCCTCTTCGGGAGGAGTACGTTCCCGTTGAACTCGCCTTTCATATGTTGATCAGGCAAGGTGAGTTATGGAAGCGAGGTTTATGAAATCCGAGACGGCGGGGGGTCACCTCCACCAACACCTCCTCTTAATAGTCATCCTCCAATTAGCTACCGACACACCTGGGCACAGCCTCTCCCAACCTTGTATAAATTCTGTCTCTTTTTTTCTGTGACAGACTCTGATTTACAAGCAACTCGCTTTACGAGCTACGAAACAGTAAATACCGGGATTTGCTTTGACCGCTCAGCTTCAGTGTCATCTTCTCTTTTTCATTTTGGGATTTGAGTCACGTCTCGACACGGAGCTTTCACCACTCCCCGGTGAAATCCGGAGATGGATTTTGATAACAATTTTATTATTTGTATTTTTCCTCCTTATCGTCTTCATACCGGATGAATTCTCGTTGTCGTAACGTAATCTGAAAAACCTGGAGAATTTATTGCCAAAATACAGTCTCGTTTATTATGAACGTGAAATATATTCGTGGTAGAAAAGAAAAACGACTTTTGGCCGCATGAGAAACACACAAACGTAGAACATTTAAATACTGACCACTTCCTGAAAGATCAAAAACGACTTCCAACAGGGGTTAGTGAAAGTACTAAACGTAGTGAGGCTGTTTATAATCTTTACACTATTAATTTATATTTAAAAACAATTGTATGAATGGGACAAAATAAAATCCGATAACCTTTCAATAAATTTTATAATTCACATTTTTATAAATTGAATATATTTAGTAAAAATAAAAATAATAACAATAAAATTGGTACTTCTATTAAACTATGTGTTCCTGTTTTTCCCCATTATTTGTAAAAATAAATATGCGGTTAATACGCCAACGAAAAATCGTCCTAATCCCATGACCATTTGTCACGCAAACGGTGGTCAAACCACAACCGTCCGAAAACGGGCGTTTTCAGTCCGATTGATATTCTTGACTTTCTGTTACTGCTTTCAGCCAATCACTTTCTTGTACTTTTATTTAGATCGAGTTATCAAAAATGTAGGACTTAATTCAATTTCCGGCCTTCCTGAACGTCTACCTGAGTTGCCTTAAAACTAATCCGACAGATGACACGCCAGTTTTTTCGTTTTAATCCCACACATGACAAGACAAATCAGAGCTTGGATTATCTGCAAAAAAATAAATGCAACTTGATTGTGTGTGTGTGTGTGTGTGTGTGTGTGTGTGTGTGTGTGTGTGAGAGAGAGAGAGAGAGAGAGAGAGAGAGAGAGAGAGAGAGAGAGAGAGAGAGAGTGAGAGAGAGTGAGGGAGCGACGCAAAAATAATATGTAGTAAATACGTATGTTCCAAAGTGGAATCGAATCTAACTATAAATTTACGGATAATGCGATCGACCTGTTTTCATAATTTTACATTGATCGGGTTGTAAAAATAAGCCGTTAATCAATAAAACCCTCAGATTTTAGACATTTTGCAATAGCAACCGGATTTTGAAAACCGACTTTAAAATAAAGGTCATTGCGCTGTAATGGATAGCTGAAATGGCAAGCAAGCAGAGGAAAGTGCCCGTTGTGCGAAACTGTCCGCACGAAATGCTCATCCGGAGGGGGGAATGGATAATTTTCTTGTCCCACCCCTATCAACGCAATTTCGGTTTGTCCCAGTGCACATGCTATGAAAACGAGTTCCACTCGAGTTGGTAAACGTCAAAGGACATAGAGATTACTTGATTAGGTTTTGCGTGCGTTTTGTTCAACTTGTTACGATTGCGATCAAAGGTCGATGGCTCGCGTGACGACATGTCACAACGCGAGTACAGCCGCATCGAAAAAACACACGGCTGACGAATTCGATGTTTGTACTCTATAAGAAATACCCACCTGTCCGTTCTTGTCCATCTCGTTGTTGGTCAGTTTGACCTTCTCGAAAGACACTACTTGCTTCCGAAGCTGTTCTCCGGTGAAGGGCGAATCTGGGTGAAGATAAAGCCTGCTCGGTGCAGGTGGGTCCGCTTTTCCCGCTACGAGCCACGACGATCTGTGGTACGCGTACCTGTACCTCTTGTTGTCCACCGGTACAATGTCCATCAAAACTGCGTACCTTTGATCCGGCCGTAAACCGCTAAAAGACACTCTCACTGTCGGAAACATCCTCCTGGAAAAGAAAAGAGAAATTAATTTTATTACAGAGTCAAACCGAACGTTCAACCGGCATGCCATAACATACGCACTAATGAAATAGAACAACCCCGGGCACGGAAAGCGTGAATAATATTTTCATTATTCCGACGGGGGGAGGCTTTCATATGCGGTGGTTAGATAGTCGGAAACGATACTCAGCCTCATTTCCTCGCCTGTGTTCCCCTAATTAAGAAATGACACGTTTGATAAATACTAAATAGCGGGGTTGTTGGCGAGGGGATGGACGGGTCACGGAACATTAGAGCGAAGCATCGTAGTGACGTCACATCAAGCACTAATTACACCAAAGGGCAATTAGGCCTGGAAAAAGGAGGACATGTGCTTTCAGCCAGTGTGTGAACATCTCAGACTGTTTGATTTCAATATATGATGTGGTTTTTAAGATTGAAGTGGTGAAGTACAAACTGGCCGGGCCGGATATACAGTCGACATGAGGTAACAATTCTCTGTTTAACTGAAAGTTTGCCTGCGGTTTTTATCAATTTCCCCTCGTGGCCGTTTTCATTAGTTTTCGCCTCTGCGATGAGAGCCGAGGGAGCGATAAAGCAATGGAAACCCAAGCAGTTAGTTATTTCCGACGGGTATCGTGGGGCCTGGAGCAAATTAAAATCAAACTGGTAAATGAACCCCTTCCCGTTGAACGATGACCGACGAATTTTCCCTATAACACAAAGAATTGTGGTGGTTTAGCCCGGCCGTAAACGGAAAATTTCAACCAAAATTGTTCGTTGCTGGAGTATGAGGAAGACACTAGAATAAAACCAAATCTATTTTTATTTCTAGCTGGTTAATTATTTATTTTAAAATATTATTAATTAATTTATTACGAGAATCAGGATACAATAATAACTTATTAATCATATAACGGAGGAACAGGATAATTAGTTTCCTACCCTAGTTCTTTCAAGCCCTTTAACACAATGTGTTAATAAAAAATAATAAATAAAAACTCACTAATTTCGTGGTCCGCTTGACCAAAAATGGCAAAAAGGAGGGAAAATTCAAAAGGTGCGGTTGAGATGGGAAGTTGGTGTCCGAGTAGATCGAGGTCACGATAGCTCAAGTGGTAGAGCAGCGGCGTATCAAGCCGAAGATCGTGGGTTCGAATCCCGCTCGTGCCATTAACCTTTTTATTTCAACTAAAAACCCTAATTAATTGTAATAAACAAAAATGTTTTCCTGAAAATGGAGTAATTAAAAAATGAACCAACGCCACAAATTTAAGTATTGACCTCTTATATAAAAGAGAGGCTTGAGAGTGTGCAAAAGATGAACCATTTTTACAGTCGATTGATTTGTTGTTCTATAATTTAGGCATTTTGAAAATAACCATTATGTTAATTTCTTTTTTTCTTTTCATCCGGAGGCGACGTAGAAAAGATAGTTAAATGTAAATTTTAAGGAACTTTTTAGTCACGTGAGCTCTTTCGATAAGGAATATGTACAGGTATTTTCCCTTTATCTTTCAACAGATCCCGACTCGGCTAAATTAAAATGTCACGCGACCTTCTAATGATGTTACAAGATTCGCCAATGCGATAATATTAACATTTATATTGTTAACAAATTAATGCTAGACTCGGGAGTCAATTAAAAAATTCTTCAAGAGGGCAATTTGTATGACGTATTCCCTCGGCTTTCCACCATTATTACAATTCTTTCGCCGGTTTTATAGTCCGTCTTATTCGTTATGCAATTACTATTCACACACATGTAATTACCTGGTATGAACTAGCTCTTGTTCTCATAAAAAATTTTACTTTAGCAGTCTTATTATACATTCAACTTGGCATTTTTCATCATCAAATTGTTGCCATTCAACAGAACCGTAATTCATACAGGAATATTATCTTTATGAAAGGGGCGTCGGTGTCCGAAACGGTTTAGGCGTTGATACGGCGCTCACTGTAAGGTAAAGGCCCCGAGTTCGAATCCAGCCGCCTTGCATTCGAACCCGACTTGCTTACAAATGGGATTTTTTTCAAATGAGGAGTGATATGACCTCTGCTGTTGCGAACCCTTGTACATAATAATAATAAATAAATTTAAAAAACATATTATCTTTATGGAATAACAAAGATAATATAGAAAATAAATCTATATATGTTTCGCGGTCTTAATAAACCGTATTAATTATTACAATTAATTATTCTTTTTATCTAAGGTCTGTCTTAGTTGAGATGAAAAAGTTAGTGTCACGAGCGGGATTCGAACCCACGACCATCGACTCAATACGCCGCTGCTCTAACCACTTGAGATAACGTGCCTTCGATCCACTGGGACACCAACTTCTCATCTCAACCTTCAGCCTATCGAATTTTCCCTCTTTTTGTCATTTTTCATCCCATTTTTTCGAAATCACGATAGCTAGAACAAATATCGCTATTTCTTTCAATTCCGATAATATGAAAAATTAAATGTTTAATATATTCAGAAATCGTGAGATGCGGTCTGGTGTGTTGTAGGTTTCAGAAAAACCTTTTCTTTATCGGGGAAGATGATTTCAATAAAGATCGAAACGTTGGCACGATAAAGAAAATGTTTTTCTGAAACTTACATCACACCAGACCGCATCTCACGATTTCTGAATAATTATCGATTAACGGTCACTAATCACCACATAAATGTATAAAATTATTCATGGGTGCGTTGGTGGCCGCAATGGTCTTGACACAGCGCTCATCATTGTAGGGAAAAGGTAGTCTAGGAACCCGTCATACTTACAAACAGGCTTTTTTTGATAATCTGTGCTGCTGCGAACTCTCGTTAAAAGAAATAAAATAAAATATTAAAAATTAAAAAATTCATAGCTATTTCTCAATGCTTTAATGACCCAGGCCGGAAACCTGTACCGATCGTACATCATACAAGCGCAGACCACTAATGAATTAACGACCCGGGGGAGGTGAGGCCGAGTGAAAACTATTTTTCATAACTCGTTATTAGCACAAGTCAAATAATAATTATTAATGCTAGCGTCCGAGATAGAGATCTCGAAGGAAGTTCACCTGCTTGGAGGCAGCTGAGGAGAAGCAGCGGGGGGCCTCTTGGTAGCTCACAGCCCCGAGCTAAATTAAATTCATCAAACACGTACCTAATGAACGGCAGCCCCTTCAGGTCTCGGCGCTTGCCGAATTTCCTCTTGATCTTTGTCATATCAACATGAGGAACTCCAATACTCTTTCTTTTTAAAGATATTTGCCAACTGGGAAAATTAACCAAGCAGGAAAATTGTTGTTTCTTGATACCATACGGCCAGTTTATCCACCGAGAAGACAATAGTAGTAAGATCATAATAATCATCTTCCCAGATGTTTGGAATTATGGATAAGAAAAGCGTGAAATCTAACTTCACTGTAAAATGATTATTCTGAGGTCGTGAGATGCGGTCTCCGAATAATCATTGACTAACGGTCACTAAACACCACACATCACTGTAAAAATTTTATAACGAACACAGTAAGTTTGTACGAACGTCTTTCGCCGTCAAAACGTGTGTTGTGCTCTATTACAATGAGAGTATTACCCGCTCCTCAGGTGGTATAATAACACCACACGAAACATTTTCTATGTGTGACAAACAATAAAACAAAAGGTTATAAGAGAAGTGTCGTTGTCTCGATACGGAGCGACATTCAGGACAATACTGGCACTCGAGCGTCTGAAAATTTCCCAGAAAAGGCAGGCAATAAATCAGTTGTGCGTGGGTGGTCGACAATTAGGCGCTGTTGGGGTGGGCAGTGTCACGTGCTCTTACGGCTCCTCCTCCTAGGTACGGAAGAGAAATCCGGAGAAAGGTTCAGTCCTGTTTTCAAGACCGTATTACATACCATATTGTACCTACTTTAATTAATTGTAATACACAGCACAACGGCCACTAGCACCATCGGATGGAGTTTTAAAAAATCACTTACATTGAATCTTTTATCACTCCCTCCTATCGTGCGGACACGGAGAATCAATTTCTCTCCTGCACTGGATTGTTAATCCTGTAATACATAAATTCATAATACAACCCTTTCCCGTCGGATGTACAATGTAAGCATATTAGTCCAAAACGTGATTTTTCAACTGAGTCGAACAAAACGAAATTTCATTCATTATTCGGCGTCAGAAAAAGGCAATTAGCGCTCAGTAACTAAAGAACTCGGAACATGAAACGGTCGGCAGATGATTTGCATGTTGTGAACGAGAGGCTCAAAACTCATTTGCACGTTAATAGAAATCCAGTGATATAGTTAATGTGAGAATCAAAAAGCATCCGAGCGACAATGATAAAAGTCCGTCGCGGGATTCTCAACCAGTTGTTCCTAACATCAACGTTGAGAGTTTGATTTGCTAATTGCTAACTAATAGGTGCCACACGCATCCTTATTTCCCTTGTTTTTGCCTGTAGATTAATAAACTTGCTTACAGTCACGCAACTTAAATTACAAGAATGCCGTTTCTCAATCAAATTAATTATTTTAATTTTATTTCAGGTTTCAACGTTCTTTTCATTCTTTAGTTCATCATTCAGTAAACTTTTCAATTCTGTAAATGCCATTAAAAAAAAACACCCAGAGCACAAAGGAAGGCATTAGGCAAATTTTAATTCCTAAAAATTAATAACTTGCTTCTCATAATGTCAGTTATGTTAATTATTACATTAAAGTTAGGAAGCAACCTTTTGGAATTAATCCATCTATGTAATTAGTAGTCATGATTGATCGTGTTAATTACACTTGTTACCTAAGGTCTTGGTTGGGAAGAGAAAGTTCACTAGCGGGATTCGAACCCACGACCTTCGGCTCCATACGCCGCTGCTCAACCACTTGAGCTATCATGACTTCTATTGGAAATGACAATGAATCGCTACCAATATCTACTTCAATAACGTCCTTTAATTTATTTTTTACTAGATCCGTGTTTTTGCTATCCACTTTATCTGTGATCGAATCTTAAGTTGTTTCA